CTGTCCAAAAGAGTTTTGTCCTGGGGAAATCTTGTAAGCGAAAGCCATCAAGGCCGAATGCAGCTCCGTTGTGAGGACGTACCCCAGTACACGGCAATGTTCTTGTGAGAACCTCCATTGAAGCCAGCCAGGGCAGAGGGAAGCGCCGCCAGCAAGCTGGCTGCAGAGGCCAAAGACCAGAAAGAAGAATACATTTTCAACTTGTTCAAGTGCCCCCCAGAAGTAACACGCCTAGCCAGAGGTGTGTGGGAGAATAGACCAAGAGAATCTTGTTTGTGATGGAGACGGTAAATTGACTAGAGGCGTGTGGCATGGCACAGGCATGGCAGTTATATATATTGAGAGTGAACATGTGAATGTATTAGAGACCCCCGTGAAGAGCATCAGGCAACTCGATTGTTACCTGGAATGACATATACCGACACATCCCTGAAGTGTACATATGTGACGCTGGACGGTCCATTAAAGCATCTTTCTGCATGGTCGGTCCTTTGTACAAGGAATTGGGAAGTAGACCGAGTTGTTCATCCCAGGGATAAGGCTGCCAATGCTACTTTGCGAGAAGGCAAGGATGTAGTGGTGATACCGTGAAGGATCACGGCTCGCCAAGAACTGCCAGGCTCTAGACCGTGACCGGTCTTGTATTCCAAGAGCCTAAAGTAACACAGACGATGGTACCGGGCGCTTATCACGGTCACTTGTCGCAGAGCAGTGTATATCTGATAAACTGCAGTGTTCAAGACTTCGACGATGCAGAGATGATTTTTCTGGGTGTATAAGATGACTGTAATGTACAAAACACAGGGTCTACTCCCCGTGTCTGGCGGACAGGCTGATTGTACAGCAGATCCAACACCCTCAAGGTGTGCGTACTCGGCACTTGATTCTGAGACGTCGGGGATGTTCTTATACATCTAGCTCATGTGCTTGGATCATGGGTGTCGTCTTCGATACAAGCAGCTCAGGCAGGCTTACAAAATGGGACAAGAGAGGATTCACAACTGAAGGGGCGGTAAAATTCCTCCAGTCGTTTCACAGGATCTAGCCATGTACGACTCGGGGGGGATTCCGATTGCGTTTCGGTGCCACGAGGTTGCAAGTCAGCTGTGGAGAGCTTGTGAGCTTGTACACTCGCTGGCTTGATTTAGCCAGCCCATCTGCTACACATGAACATTTCATGGTCAACTTCCTACTTGAGTAGGTAGACGGGGCTTGTGAAGGTGTGAAGTCTATCCAGTGTGGCTCCCTCTTCATATTTCATGACGTTTCAAGTCTCCCGACCTTAATCTCGAGGGAGTAGCCGTGATTGGACTAGAAACATGATTAATGAAAGGGAAGGCAATCCAATTCTTTGACGGGGTTACTAGTTACCTAGGCATGCAATGGCCTACTCCGTGGTTTGCCGATATCGTCCTGCATTCATGTTCCCCAGCAAGCAGCCTGGGTGCTGACTGTATTTGCTGTCGCAGTGAGTGAAGACCAGAACTCGATGAGGCTACGCTGCCGAAGAGTCTAGCAAACGCCAGTCTTAGACGTCTTCAGCTTCTAGTCTTGTTTGTGCCTGTGGCCAGAGAGAGCATCTTCCAAGATCCTGGTAGGGCCGACTGAAAACTGGCCTTATGGACGGGCACCAGAGCATGGCTAGGTATCTTTTTGTTCGTCCAAACTGTAACGTGGGGAAAGCAGAGCTTCCATAAGTCGGCGTTTGGAGCACAAGTGCCCATGAGCAGGTTCTGCGTAAGTACGGAGTAGGTGGTGAAGTATTCCGGGGTCTGCTTGACGGTGCATCAAGAGCCCAGAGGCTGCATAAACTCCCTCAGTACGGAGGTACCTATTGCAGGTGCAGGGTACAGTGGGTTGTACCTGACATGGACGGAGTGCTCCGTGTCGACCGTATGTGGAGCCAGGAGCTTTTCTTCCCTGGCCGTGAAATTTCACCGAGGGAGTCAGTACAGTCCATACTCCGTACATGCATGCCAATGAATGAATCCATGGCGTTGTCGATTATTTGGCGTCACGCTCGTGCCTTGAAAATCGTTCTCTGCTGCCAAAGGCACATGCACACGACGGTGTAGATGAACAAGTCAGGGGCTATATGGCGGTCAGGTTCAACGCCTGCCCGTGCCTACGCCGTATGCATCATTTGTCGTCTTTGGGTGCTCCATGTCTCGGTCTCTCTTTCCCCTTTCCTCATCTGATGACCGGCCATGGCAAAATGGCAAGGATGATGGAAGGCATCGTCCAATGTATCGAAAACTCCATGCCAAATGCTGGGGACATCTGGACCTCTTGTGCTTCCCAAGCCGAATGCTGACCTCGACGGCCCGGCGAGCCTACATGTACACTTGCGCACGTCAAATCCTTCTCGAGGTTCCGTCTTGGAGGTTGAGCCAGGGGCTGCATCATCCGCCTTCCTCTTTAATGTCCCGTGCCCCACGCCAAGCCTAATTAAAAAAAAAAAAGAAGCACTTAAGGGCACGCTTAACCTAGATGTGATCCCCAATAATGACTATTCCGTTGTGACACAGACGACATCTGGAGCTCTACCGAGCAAACGCAGAAGCCAATGCCCCACGGATGAGCAGCTGCGAATTAGCTTTATGTGGGAGCCGGTCTTCTGCTCGACCTTGCCGTTGACGGCTTCAACCTTGTAACGTTACATTCAACGGACTGGAATCAGCGTCAGGAGAATTGCCTATTGTCCTTGTTTTGGTCGCCCTTAAAAAGCCTTCGTCTGCGGACCAACTTTAAAACCACCACTACGGCGGCCAAGAGAGTGTATCACAACATTTTCGAATGACCCCCACTGAACCGTGGATTGGCCAGCTTGTTGCTTCGATACGCAAGTGGACCAAATGCAAAAATGCGACATGTCTCTTAATTTCTTTCTGTGGTACGGAGAAGTACATTAAGCTTATTTGTTTTTACCAGCCGATAATTGGGTCGGGGACTCTATGTATGTCTAAATCCCTTTGGGTGTTCGAAGGTGCCGATTTTGTACCGAACAAGGATTTCAACTAATTAAAAGTCTTAATATAAGAGATACATTAATATACTAGGATATTATATAGAGATATAAGTACTATTTATCTTTATATATACAAAAAAATACATATTTATACGCACTAAACCAGGTATCTGCCAGGTATCTCAGACAAAGCGGGCCCGGTACGCAATCGGCACCTTCGAACACCCAAAGGGATAGACCTGATGAATTGAGGCGAGTGTGTGATGGGCCATCTCTAGGCAAAATATTAGCAGCAGTAGTAACAGTTTACAACGGCCTCTGACTCATTTGGAAATCTGGCTTTAGACATTTGACGATTGGTATTAGGCCCATGGCTTTGCGCTGACTGGCAATGTGTCACGCGTTCCTGCTGTTTTGGTGTAAATGGCGTTACAACAGCAACGACTTCATGGTCCAGCTCCCTCGTTCACTACAACATCAATTGATATCACAATCAAATAGGGGCCGCCATTGCATCCATTCCGGTATGATGTCAAGGGGTATAATATTTCTCCTTTTCATTTATTAAAAAAAAGAAGAACGAAAAGGCAAACTATGAGTGACACCGTCTACAAACCTGTACACTTTCGAGGCCGCTCTTTGGCAGGCTTCTTTCAACCAGTCAACGCCATGCCCCTTTCCCTCCAATCCTTTCCCGTCCGAAAACATGTAATCATCATCTAAGAAACAGCAAGGCTCCCTCCGACTACCAACGTCCTCTGCGACCCCGTCCGCCACTGAAACCGCCTCGTCCCCCGCCTCCAGCTGACATGCCTTGCTCATAGCCATACCCTCCTTGATTACCGCCGAAACCACCGCCAAAGTTCTGTCCTTGGTTTCCCTGTGCCCCAGGACCTGCACCACCATTCTGCATACCCGAAAACATGGCGCTCATTTGACTGGGGTCCATCTGAGATGGGTCCATGCCCGACGCCATCATCTGTTGCATCATCGCTTGCATCTCCGGGGGCATCCCATCCATGCCTTGCATAGATGTTCCTCCCGCATTACCACTGCCTGGCATGCCCATGCCTCCCATCATCATCATGCTGTTGAAATCCTCCATCATCTTTTTGTTGTTTGATGCAAATGCGTCAGCCCCAAACTCCCCTCGAAGACTCTCTTGTTTCGCCGCATACAAAGCCCAGGTGAATTCATCGAAACCGTAGTTGAAGTAGTCGCTGATATCGGTACCCGGCTTTCTCCATGGTTTTTCGTTGTCAGGGAGATCTTGAGTTGTATGTTAGTTGCACAGTTCGTTTGAATCTACCGGTGGCAATACTCAAGCCTGACCTTCGTCAATGTTTACTTGTGTTATGGCCTTTCCTGCGGCGGGATATACTGGATTTGCGTTGACGTCAATCGTGGATTTGGACGCAGCTGCGGATGTCTGATCAGCGCTCGGTGCCGCGACACTTGCTACATTGTTAAGTGACTTTGGCTCGTCTTCCCGTTTTGTCGGGGCTGGCTTTGCTGGTGAATCGCCAGACGTCGACCGCTGGGGAATATTCCTGATATCGCTGTATTTGGATTGTCTGCACAAGAGTCAGTTGAGTTCAAACCACGTCACTGAGGTAGTTAAATTGGCTAGCGCTTACGTTGGAGGCGCTGCTGTAGTGCCGTCTTTTCTCTCCGTGATAATGTCAATGTCCTAGGAGAAGCTTTGTTAGCTACCCTGTTGCGCGGATGGGCTCGGATTTGTTCGTACAGAATCATCGTCATCTTCGTCCATTGCACCACTCTCATCCTCCTCCTCTCCCTCCTCAAGCTCCTCGGTCTTTGAGACTGTGCGTTTCTTGTCGTGTTGTTCGACCTTAGGCTCCTCCGGCTCGTAGAGGTCATCGTCGCCCTCGTCCATCTCCATTTCATGCTCAGACAAATCCGAGTTCATGGGGGGCAAACTAGAAGTGAGAGCAGAAACACCTCGAACAGCTTCACAAATATGAGAGGAAGGACAAATTGGAGCTCTGCAAGTTCAATTGTATCGTATAGGATGCTCTCGTCAAGCACGGATAGCTTCAAGTGTGGTGGGAACAGGTTCCCAGCTCTAGTCGAGCCGACATTTCTCCGCCTCGTCGTCGCGTTCCTGCGCCTGCAGACCAGCAAAATTCAATGGCCATCTCTAGTTGCGCCAGGCCCCACCCTTCGTCCTAAAGTCAAGGTCCCCATCCAAGCAACTTCGCAAAAAGTCAACTTCCGATGTGAGACGCGCCTCGCTGTTGACCACACCTCTCAGCGATTTTCAATGTCTCTTGCACGGTCAGCCAGTGTGCCAGGTGGTCTCACGATCAATACGGGCGCCGCCAATTCCTTGTAAGCCTCCCGCGTCCTCGAACCCTCGGAGCCTTGGCCCCTTTGCCTGTTCCTATGCCGTCTTCCTTTCTTTGTGGAAAGATCTTTCTTGTCCTACGCTTGGCAATAGGTCTGCAGGGTTTGTTGAAGTTTGCCATTGCTGACAAGGGTTCCTCCAGAGGCACATCAACAATCCAGCCATCAGCGCCTACTGGGTTGTTTGGGTCCGGAAGCACGTCTGCTAACCCAGCAACTTCGACGACCGGCGGAATGGCGACCACTGGAAGTATATTTGGAGGCGCACAGCAAAAGACAGGGACTGGCTTGTTTGGTTCCTCGACGACGGCCGCTCAACAACCTAGCACTACCGGAGGATTGTTTGGAGGTGCGGCAAGCAATCAACAGACTCAACAGGCCACCACGACTGGCGGTGGTGGACTGTTTGGCAGCACGGCGACAGGCCAGCAACAGTCTCAGCCAGCCAGCGGAGGCCTTTTCGGCAGTAATCCTACTGCGACGCAACAACAGCAACAACCGCAACAGACAGGTGGCGGCCTTTTTGGCTCTGGAACAGCCAACACTCAGTCTACTACCACCGGAGGTGGCCTCTTCCAACAGTCACAGGCAAACCCGTCAGGGGGTCTATTGTAAGTTATGTCATAACGCTGTTAGTGAGTTATCATGCTTACCAGAATTGTTTCGAAAACGCGTAGCGGCCAATCACAGCCCCAGCAAACTCAAGCAACAAGTCAAGTACCAGCAGTTCAAATCAACTATGATAATCTTCGGCCTCGGACAAGGTTTGATGATCTTGCCAAACCTGTTCAAGACGAAATAGCTCTCATAGACAAAGGAATCCAGCGTGTAATCAAGATGAAGGATGAGATTGGAGAATTCATGCCGCAACACGAGAAGGATATTGAACAACTAGGGCGAGATGTCAAGTTTGTGGAAACAAAGTTCAAGACGGTTCAAGTCGCTCTCAACCAGGACATCCAAACTGTCAAAGTGTTGCAAGACATGACAAAGAAGAGCATAACAGATGCTCAACTCTCATTTAAGGCGACCGACAACCTCAAGCTACCCACGCATTATCATCAGACCGGCCTTTTTGCTGGACCGACGTCGTCCGCAGACTCCAATGGAACCGACGCCGCCTCCGCGCATGCCAACGCGCAGGATCTTATCACGTATTTCAATCGGATTTGCGATGATGTGGAAAAATACAAGAAGAGGCTGGATGAATATCGAGGTGAAATCGAACGGGACATGCCCGGCGTGGAGAATGGGCTCTACGAGCAAATTCGGAGTCTACGGGACCGCAACGCTGCTGTTGGTGGTGCCGTCCAAGATCAGCTTGGACAGGTGCTGTCGGCACTGCGGGAGACGGGAAATGCAATTGTTGCACAGGCAGGGCAGATTGCTGATACCCGCGAGAGGCTTTCAAGATTACAGGCGGGCATCCTCGACAGTGGTGTTTATGCCATAGGAATGGCCGGATGATGCTTGAAGGTATGATCAAGGCTACGGAGATAAATACGGACAGGAGAATAAACTACTCGGCGCGGCGTTGTGCGTGGTGTTATGCCGCCGGCAACTATTGTGGTGGGACAAGATGGCGACTACCAGCGCCTAGGAGGCTTATTTCAACGATGGCGTTCTACGGCCGGCATATACTGCATATACGCGAGTAAGACCAGTCATGCATCTGGGACATTGTGTAAGTTTTGCATTGTATTATGTTGTATCATGCAAAACGGGAGAGGGGACCGCACAGCATTTGGAAGGCACTCGACAATCTGCTAGCATTCCGAAGGCTATCTATCCCAGGTCGGGAGACGAAGATTTTTGGACATGCCGGATCCATATATGGATAATGTCGTTTCAAAGAAGTAACGAATGGAGTCAGCCTGGCCCTCGCCACGTGGAAAAATTAAACAATATACTAACCACTATTCCTAAATTGCGCCGTGATCCTGATGTATGAAGTGTGAAAATGGGTATCCGTCCACCGATAGAAAGCACTGGGAGGCGGCAGAAGACGTAGTGCCAATCTTCTCTCGCCTTTTTAAGAACGCCAAAGTAAAACCACGAGAATCGTAGCATGCTAGTATGTCCCCTCACCGTCGTCTCCTTCACCATAATCATCGCCCATCTCATCGCCGTTGTCAAAATAATGCTCGGCATCATAGTCACCGGCATCTTCATCATCGTACACTTCATCCTCATCATCTTCTTCCAGCCCTTCGTCGTCTTCTGCGTCTATCCCCTCGTCGCCTTCGTCCTCACGCATGGCGTCGAGTTTCTCCAGGATATTCTTGCCGGTGCCGCGCACAGCCTCTGCTTCCTCGTCGACGGCGCCATCTAATGATGGCATTCCAAAGGCCTCTTCGGCGTTGGGCAAGGCGCTGACTTTGCTGAGTTCTAGTCTACGCTTTTTGCGCACGCCGACGCCATCTTCGGGCTCGACGGTGTCTAGCAGCTCTGCGGGAAACATTTCGCGGCACACGGGGCGGGCAGCCCAGTCGGGCAGGGCTCGCTCTTCACGAACAAATTTCTGGGAGTACGTCGGCATCGCAGTGAAGGGGTCAACCGAGGCCTTGTTTTTCACGCCGTACCGAGCGTTCATCTGTGCTTGGCCGTACATCTTTCTTGGCGTGGTCGGGTCGTGGAGGGATGTCCGCTTGGAGGTATAGAGAGGCGATGAGTGTATCTGGTGTCGCAAAAGCAGGAAGTGCTGGACTGCGCTGGCTTCGGCACTGGCTAAGTCTCGTGGCGCTGGGACAGTGTAGGGCTAGAGTATCAAAAGGTTGGTTCGCGACATGATCTTGATTGCTCAGTGTTTTTGTATAAGGGAGCATACCGGAAACAGTTCTGATGGTCTCGCGTCAGGCTCATCGCCAGTATCCCAAGGCACGTTTGGACGTCCTCCGCCTCTCGCCCCTCCTCGGCCACCACGCCCGCCGCCTCGCCCGCCTCTTGACATTATAGTAGCGACAACAAGGGCGCGTTATTTTCTGCGGCGATGAAGCAGTAGGTAGCGGTGATGCGAAAACTATCGGATAGCACGACTGCTTGTTTTCATGTTCTTGAGGGGGGGGGAAATAAACGGTCCGTTACAATTAAACTTGACATGGCAACCCAAAGAAGGAAAAAAAAAAAAAGCTTGGAGTCGCATGCAGTAGACTAGACTGGTGGAGGCGGATTTGGGTCCGACGTCGTGTGCCCCGCCTGCCCAGAGTCAACATTATAGATTCTGTATTCTCTCACCACTTCAAATGTCACGCCTGAGTTCCAGCTTGTGTGTTTGGCTCCTTCATCCAGGTCAAACCAGTGGCTTTCAGATTTCTAAGCTTATTTCCTAAGGGTAGTAGTTTCGCAACTTCCATATTACTAAGAAACTTCGCACATCTGCACCGTCCACCACTTTTCGTTCCGAACCGGGTCCGACACAGATGAGTGCAAGAACAGTGCCAGAGTACAGTATGGACAACATCCCAATATCGGGCCTACAAGAGTTGGAGACTCATCTGCAGCTGTTACTTGGTGACCCTTCTCTGCCATTCAACGTGAAGCTTTTAGACGATGTCGAGCTTCAGCTCACCGGTATGTCTTGATGCCGCCATGGCTCGTGACTGGAGGAGATGAGGCCAACCATGACTGTCTCCCTCTGCTGACTATCTGAATGTTAGAGGACAATATCCCTCCCCTCCTACCAGTCTTGCTGCCTCCCCTGACAGAAATTCTGAAGTCAACGACGCAAGACCCAACACCGTTACTGTCCCTGACAATCAAGCTACTGTCGCCACTATCATTCACTCGGACTCTTACTATTGCCGATCCGCCATCACTACTCACAGCTTTGAGCTCGCCACTGCCAGGGGCTAATTTGCTTGCACTGGCTATTATCCAAAAAGCTGCAAAGTCGCCCTCAGATGCATCTATACTGAGTACGTTGCCTGAGGTTGTCGAAATGCTTGTCAAGTCCTGGCTAGCCAGCACAGATGTAGGGGTCGGTGAGCGTGCAGCTAGAGTGCTCGGTGACCTGCTGGAGACAGACTGCGAGTCTGTTGACAATAATACACATATTGGCAATTCCAGGGCCCAAATTAACGGAGATGAAGTCATTAAGCGCCGCGTTCCAGGCCATGGCAGATTATGGCGCCTAATCCTGTTGAGCCGACCCAACCTAACCCTTATACAACAACTTTGCTCACCCAACTCTACATATCTGGGCCAACCACGTACTACGCACCAGGTTACTATCTCTCAGGGCCGGCTTCTAAGGCTTTTGCCGCGCCTCTGCACTCTAAACATCGGTGCCTTGAGCCATCCTCTATTCCAAGATCTTTTTGTCCTGCCGGAAGAAATCAGTAGCCGAGCGGGTGGTGGACTGCTTCAATGGGCAGCCCTCGGCATGGTGGACAAGTCGGACACGTTGATGCACCTCAGTCTTGTGGACTTTTTTGAAACCTTCCTCAGCGTTATGCGAGTGTCAAGACGCTCTGCGGAAATGGATGCATTTATACGCAAGCTTATGGCGACCGCGCTTGAGTGCGATAGCGAGCTGGAGGGTGCGCTCAAGACTCTCCCAGACAGGACTATTGAAGACGAGGCGGAGCCTCTACGGGCATACATAACAGGGCTACTTAGCTAATACAACGGCCTCATATTCGTCGTATCGGAGCCACAGCAGTTGATTAATTAACGGAAATCATTCTCCCCTCCCCGTAAGATCTCCCACTAGGGGGGGTCACAAGGCCACGGGCCTTGGACAAGTCAGCCCTAAAGCCATCATGCACCGCTCCCCTTGTCCATTATGAGTCCTATTTGCTCTTCACTTAAATGGCGAAGCATCATCTTGTAGATCCTGCCAAGTGTCCCTAGTCGACACAACGCCCTTAGCCAGGCCCTTGCGAGTTGGAGTGTAGGCACCGCATTACACATGCCACGGCTGGCGAACAAACTCCGAATGCTTCTGCTCAGGCACTACTCTCTGTAATTAATTTTCCAACCCGCTAGCGGTTCTCAATAACGTCAAGCGAGAGACCATTTCAGCCTCAAACGCCGCCTTGGCCAGCGTACATTGCGCACTGGACACAGATGAGTCCCGTGTCAAATCATTGTTGACGAGATCTAGGCATCTTTAGAAAGAACCGGGTGCTATAATCCATTGTGATGAAACTTCAACGCCATGTTCGCGCAACTGGCAAGCTGAGTTGAAAATTTGTTGCGTCTATTGTGATCTACTGTGGAGGTACGAGCCCCCTGGAGACCTTTGCGAGACAATTATAGGCACCCAAGTATGCATCCACGGATAACTAGCATACAAAATGGAGGTCATATTTTTTCATCTTCCACCACAACGCCGTGCCGCCGTCATTCTACAAGCATCCGCTGTATCTTACAGCATCTTCATTGCGGATGCATCCTGTCCTGCAGCAACTTCTTCGGCAGAGTCGCCTATCATACTTTCCCTCCTCTTTTCTCCAGCCTTGGTCAGGCCTTCAATACCTAGACCGACCTCGCCCACACGTCTCAAAACGATAAGGAGGGCGCCTCGGAGGTCCTGACTGAGTTCCTTAGTCAGGAGTTCAACAGCTAGAGGGTAGAATTCTGGAATATGAGACTTGAAAGCGTCCTCCGGGAATGTTGCATAACCTTCTAGTACGTCAACGACAACGGGGCGCCATGCCATGATATTCCTGTGCTGTGATTCTTCGGCCAAAGCCGAGTACCCTTGAATGATGTCTTTGCAAAGTGGTACCAAGGCAGCCTCAATATCAGGGCGGCTCTCCAATCTCTCTGGTGCGTTATCGGCGAACATTCTGAATAGAATAGACACGTATGTTGCCGCGGCGCCGCTCTCTTGTTTAAGCAGGTTGGGCGGCTGCTTCATGAAACCTTCTCTCCACAACTTCATGCGAAGCTCTTTATCTTCATTGAAGCGGCGAGCAAATTGGAATGACCGTTTGAGCAAGGCCATCAAACGCAATAGCTCAGTTGACGGAATATGAGCATACACTGTGTCATTGCTGAAGAGTTCGTTGACTGTCTCAATCATCAATAGCTGCAGGACACAGCGTGAGATAATGCGGTTAAAAAATCGACGTCTAGCTGCTGTCACAACCACAGGTTGCTGTTGTAGATTTGATGATGGCCTGAATTCCTCTAACGGCTGGCCGGCAATACCGCCTGGAGTTTCCATATCATCGTCTAGGGGCTTCGGCGACGGTTGGCGGGGGATAGGCTCGCCGTCGGAAACGGCGCCAGAGTCATCATTCGTGCCGTTGATCTTCAGAGATTTCTCATCAACCGAAGGCGTCTCTCCAGTAGGGCTTAGGGTCCCGGAGAAGTCAAACCCATTAGAGGGTAAAGCCAGAGAAGCTGTGGTGCCCATGTTTGTCGCTGTAAACAGCTGATATGCCGTCGTGCGCTCAAAAAGCTCGCAAAAGGCGCCCACTATCTTGGCCCAATGCTCTGGAGTGAACTTGGTGACATTTTTCAGAATGAGTTGCTGTAAGCAGTTGCTTCCGATACGAGATATTGTGTCATTTTCTTGGCAAATGCACAATGCTAGCAACTCCAAGAAGCGGTCAAGCATATATTCCAAGGACTCGAAGTAGTGGGTAAAAAGTGTTATCATGTTCCGAAGGGCCTGAATCATTGTTGTTGAAAGCCAAACTGAAAGCTCTTCATGGTTAAGCACATTCGTCATCTCTGGCCTTGATCTCAAGACCATGAATATTGGATAAAGTTGCTGTCGCCACAGGATATCCCAAAACTCAGGTGTGAAGTCACCGCCATACTTGATAAGAGCAGCAAAGAAGTATTCGAGGGCGTTCGACCGCACTTCCAAATCCTCTCCAGTCATGAGCACATCGTGAAACGCAAACAGCACCGGGAACCAGAAGCCTTCCTCAACTGTTGTGTTCGATAGCGTCCTCTTAGGGCCATCCGACGTCTTGTTCAGCGCGTCGGCATTTGTGTTGCCTTGCATAGACTTGTACTTCTGCGACAATGGGCATTCAGGGGTTTTCAGCATCGCAGGAATGATGGATTTGAGTAGCTCTAACGCAGCGAGACTCTTCTTTTGAAACTTTAAGTTCTTGGAGAACTCGGTGAGACAGACAATTAAGTCAGTAAAGGCGCCTTGCGAAATCACAACGCCAAACTTGGTCTTATAGACCTGATTAACATTTTCATAAGCAAGATTCACAATACTCTCGTGGGGTTCTCTTGCAGCGACTGTGAATACTCCAAACATGGTTCTCCAACCAGATCGGATATTACCTCCCCGCGCTTGGATCATCTGGATAAGGCAGCGTAAAACTAAGTCCTTGACTGTGACATTATGGGAGTTAGCAAGTACGTGCTCAAATGGCTTCAGAAAATCTTTCTGGAACTTGAAGCCTGCCAGTTCCTCAATCTCCATAAATCTCATGGAGAGTTGTCGAAGCGAATCCAAAGCGAAGAAAACAATGTTCATGTTGTTGTGGCATCCAACTTGGTTGAAGTGCTCTCCAAGAACATCCCATATATTACTCCATTCAAATCGAACACGGTTCATGTTGTAATAGCTGATTTCGACGATTTTCTGCAGACTGTAGGTTCTAGGCGATTCGTTGGAACCAGAAACTTTGATCTCGTCCCAGCTCACTTCGGTGAGAGCTTTTGCAAATTGCACCATAGCCTCACCAGAGAGGTTGGCGGTATTCGTGAAAATTCTATCAACACTGCGAATAAAGTCATCCGAACGGCTTTCTAGGGCAATTTCATGAGAGAATCCTCTCGGACCCGTCCCGGATCTTTGCCTTGGTCTCTGTCTTGAATGCGCCGACGATCGTGAGTCTGAAGTGTCAGTCCTTGAGGGTGGTATAAATCGAGCTTGAGAAACATCCGGGATGGTACTTTCGTCAACACCGCCAGTTATGAGTTGCAGTCGATCAAGTTGGCTGATGCACATGAGTATGTCTTTCCATGATTCTCTCAACAGATTCCCTTCGGTCTGGCCAAGATCCAAGATGACCTTGAGGGCCTCGATATTTTTTGCCTGCATATCCTGAGGATTGTTCAGATTCGTGGTATTCCTCAGAGCAGAAATGAAGGCTTCTCTCGGTGTCGACAACTCAAAAAGACACGCAATTCGAGTCGCTAGTTTCATGCCTTCTAAGCAAAGCTTATTCACCTCAATATTATGAGATTTTTGGATTTGGCTGGATAGCGCCGAGAAGAACGACATCCACGTTACATCGAACATTGACCCAACATGTTTGAATGATGTTGCCGGGATAAACCTGGGTTCCGCCTTGGCAGTATTCCGGCGCTGGCTCTTGAAGAGATTCTTGAATAATTGCTCTGAACGCAGAGAAATTTCTTCGGACTGTTGCACGTACGCCTCGCGTTGCAAGTCCCGGCCAACGTTGGAGAAAGCTTGGCCAATACCAGCCGCGAGGCCGCCTGCGGGATTGGCTGTGACCGTACCGGCTACTGCGGCAGCTTCACGCTCGCTTGTGAGTACGATTTCATTATTTGCGATTTCATCGTAAATGCCCAGGAGATACTCGTCGGGTAGATCTGCATTGTCATTTATGCCACGGTTGTTTTTGATGAATTCCTCCTTGCTCATGCGTTTGGCAATTTTGCTGCTGTGCTGATCCGTGTTCAACATTATGACAGAGTAGGCAAGAACATAGGCGGTGTCTGCATTCGCAAAAGCGTTGGGATTCCCCATAACATAGCGTTCGGCAAACTTGAGCATAAATCGGTCGATCTTTTGAGCTTCACCAGGCAGCCGGAACGACTGTAGAAATTGGCGCAGTGCATCGACAAAACGTTTCTTGGTAAAATCCATTGCATCAACGAATGCGTGCATGATGTCAATATTCTCTTGGTCACCTTCTCCCAAGTACTCCCCAATTTGGGCTTTGTCAAGCTTATCCTCCTTTAAGAGGAAATTGGCAATATCCGCAGGGCTGTTACTGTCGATAAATCCATCACGTAATAGAAGTTTGACACCTTTCTTAGGCTTGAAGTTGAACTGCCTGATAGCATTTATCAATGCAGTTTTGCGCGCCTTCTCTTTTTCCAGCTGATCAGGGTCATCGTCCACAACAGGAGTAGAAGGCGGTAGAGGAGTCTCGAGTCGAGACGCGCTATCGCTCAACGTAGGGTCAATGGATGGTCGCAATTCATCAAGGGAGCCTTTGATATCCCCTTCTGGTCGAAGCATATCGCCACCATCAGATCGTACTGAGGCTGACCAGTTAACCAGGGATCTGAGCGTTTCGACCAAAGCTTCGAGTGATAGCCGCTTCATTGCATATTCCTTCGGGTAGTCTGGTTCATTCTCCTGCGGTGGGATGATTTGGGCAACTGTTAACGGGGGTGGTAGAATGCCTTTCAGCTGCCACTCGCTGGCGGGTGGTGTCTTGGCCCTCAACTCTTCATATACCTGTTCGTTGATTGTTGTGATTACCAGGGGTGTTGTGGAGAATTTGGAAAGATCCTCGACCATAGTTTGAAAGATGTTGTCCACAGTCTGGTCACAATCATAGTTGAGATACGTTTCGACTAGAGCTCTGGGGTCTGCACACAGCCGATTGAGTATCGTTACAAAGTAGAGCTTTTGTGACACCGGCGCGTTGCGTCGAGATAGGAGGGCAAGGTAGATTTCGTTAAGAAAGACCTCGATTTCTTTCTGTCTACAGCGTCAGAGAATGGCACAAGGGATTCAGGAATGACCAATGATGGCAGAAAACGTTATTTACCTTGAACGAGGACCTCATGTATTTGAGCATTAACCAAAAAATCTCGGAACAAACATCAAAGATGCGGTCTACAGAACTTGCACCATTGCGGGTGATGCTAAGGCAAAGGTAAAACTTGATGGCTTGCAAGAATGATGTTGGCTCGTTGTTTTTAGAATTCTTTATGGTGCAGAGGGGTGACGTGAACACGGTGATGTTGTTGTTGAGTAAAGTATGAATGAGGTGAAGAGAGATGAGTTTCGATCGCATTGGCTGTCCGCGCAGATCATACAACTGATCAGGGGGGAGAATTTTGGTTGACAAGTTACAGAAAGACCGAAATACGAGGTAGGCATCTCGTATATATACTTCGTCCTCAGCATCTAGATCATCCATATCTTCCTGGGTCGAACCATCGGGCCCTGATGGACTAGAAGTTAACGAGTCATCTTTGTTGGCAGGCTTCAACCTTGTGACCATTGTTGGCCCATCACCGAGCGTAGAATCATCAAAACTCTTCCGATGCTCGAGATCCTTCAATGTCAGCTTGGCACCACCGTTGGACTGTTCTGGAGCATTGGTGTCCGATTGAGGTGCAGGCGACTCCTCGCCATTGAGACCCAGCTGTGTGCTACTTGCCAGATCGTTAGGATCAAATGTGATGTTGCTGGAGCTATGCTTCATGCTGCCTAGGCTCAGTCTAGACTCCTTCATGTGCAGCCTCGTCCTCACACGTTCGAAGACTGTCCCAACCATCTGCGTCAAGGTGCCTTGGGCAACCTGCTGATTTGCAGTGCTTCTTGACAGCAGAAACACATTGTAGACCTGGCGGACGGCTTTGAGAAGACCTGCACCATGCACGACAATTTTGTCATTGAGAACAGCAGCAAGTAGGGACTTGACAATTTGAAGCTGAATCTCAACAGCCGTAGTTTCGCCCTGGAAACAGTCACAAATTGTGTCGATGGCTCGCTCGATCAGGGGGGGTAGTTGCTCGACGGATTCTTTGTTATCGGTATCCGCGACGTCTTCTTTGGTAGGTATTGAGAAATATGAATAGGATATCAGCTTGCCGATGCAATCGAGAGCAGCCGTCGTCAACTGTGAGTTGCTCGACTTTGTGGCTAGTTGCAAAGGAGCAAAGACGATTTCGGGGTCTGGAAGCTGGTCTTGCTCCTTGATGGCATCGAGAGCCTTGTTTGCAGACTCGGCAAGCTGCTTGTTGCGCTGCGCATCTTTGGAGGTAGCAATGGCATCCAAGGAGGACACCACAAACTTGAGAGAGCTCATCGGGGAGCGCGGGCGGAGCCAGCGGCCATCCGAGAGAAGACGGGAGAATGGTTGCCAATGGAGCTATGAATAGCAATTAGTCGTAGTAGAGTCGAGGGGCGGCTTCAATGCCCAGATGACTTTGAGACTGCCAGATGATGTTTGCGATTAGCTGCCCCAAAAGCAGATCCAGGAAACTGTGCAGCAGTTGGATTTTAGCCGATCACACTCGGTGTCGATGTCTGATATGCGACGACTTCGAGGCCCTGACGCGCGCGATGCTCAAATGTGACGGCGTGAGGTAGGAGCCCCGAGGCTAGGCTAGCGGAGTGAATACGGCAGCGTGAGCTTTGAGGCTATAGACGGGTGCCAGGAGGCTGCTCGCGTATATTGACACAAGAGCAATGCCGCACGAGTATAGAGTGGGAGTACTGTAGATGGCGCGGTCGTACTCGAGCAGAGTGTCCCGAAGTATGGACTCATGGACTCAAGTAGCAATACGGAGTGTACCAACGTTAGGTGTTCAGTGGAATTGGGAAAATTGAAAGTGGAGAAGGACCCTCCATGGTCCAGAGTCCGCACATGTCAACTGGTGCCGAAGGTCCTGGGAAGTGCCAACATGGCCGCCGCGCCACAGGCCGAGTACCCACTGGAGTACTCAAGTAAGGAGTCAACTGGTAAACCAGCCACATCGCTGGCTGCACAGCCAATTGACTGCCATGTCAGGAGAACTCCAGCGAGGTCAGTTGAGTAAAAACACTCCCGCTGCAAAATGCCAAAGAGGCATGTGCACTAGAATTTTCCTCTTTCAGGAAAACAATACAGATAGATCTCTTTGCTATTCGGAGCATGAATTGTATGTCGCCAGCGTCCTAAATCCTTTATTGTCTGGCACGATTCTTCTTCTAGGACGAAGTGTTTCAGGGGTTGCGGCGCCGAGCGGATATCGGATTTCGGGATCATGACATGCGCGTACCTAGTAGTTACAGACCTGGGTTGGTACTTAGGTACTTGGTAGTATCTAATAACCCAGCTCCAGGACGTACTCCGTACTTAACTACTTAGTTAAGTAAGCAGTCTGGTCTGTTATAGAGCTAGGTACCTAGGTACCTAGTATTTAGTAGGGAGGCAATAGATGAGCTAGCTGTATATTCTGTCCGGCACAAAAAAGGCTGGTTGAAGGAAACGACAACATCTAGGGCGGGCATAGACGTGTGTGTCCGGTTATCTGTGCTATCCAAGACAGTCCGCTGTGCATCGTCCGTAATAAAACAAAACAAAAAATACCAGGTTCGTCCAACAATCTGCTCTATTGTGTGGATCATGAGATGGGTACCGACCTAGCTACCTACTTAAGCAGGTACCCAGGCGTGTATTCGGACCGGCCAGAAAACCGAATGTCTCAAGTGCTGTCGCCTTTATTCGGAGCAGTAACAGGTGCTGGACTACTCGTCTAGAAAATACCACCTAAGTACATACTAAGTAGATGTAGTAGTCATGTAAGGTATTTGATTTCACCCAAGAAATAAGCATAAGATATGACGGCATCCTATCCTGCCCTCCGATGGCACTGTGCTAAGGGTACTCCGTACTTAAGTACTTATCGTACTTGAGTACTTACTGTCGACAACAGGCAAGACCTGGAGCACCTACATGCTAAGTATAAGTACTTAAGTAGGAAGTAACCAGGTACTTATAGGTAGGCGGGTAGGTACTTGAGCAGGTGCCTCGGTGATTACGCTCGCCTTGGTACCGAGGACGTACCTGCACACTTCGTAAAGTATAGTATCTTTGATATCATGAATCGCTGCCCTGAGCAACTGGTCTGGTCCGTCAAGATTGAATTGACAGGCGTCAACAGGTGTCGGCATGACTTGAGCACCAAGCCCTTCACCCAACCCACTGCAGAAGGGGCCAGGGTGCCACCTCTTTGCCCCTCCCCTGTCCGGCTAGCCCAATCAAGCCGCCGTGCACCGGACCTGTCCATCTGCCTGAAATGCCGTACCATGCCATCCGTTGACTTGTAGCAACCCGCCGTGCGCCGCCCATGGGCCTGCTTGGCTTCCTCCGAAAGCGGCTTAGGCCCCAAAGCTCCAGCAAGCGACGGAGCTCAACGCAAAATTCTGGATGGCCTGCTCCAACCATGAACCCCAAGCATTTCTCCGTCACCTTTCAGAGACGCTCCCCGTCAACAATTCGCGCGCTGCCGCAACTCTCCCACCCTCGGGCCTCTCAAGCCTTTGCCTCTTTTCCAATTCGGCCTCAATCCGCTTCAACCCGACTCTCTTATCTCCCTTCCACCTTCCAGGCCCGAGAGACCGCTCATCCGGTGCTTCCCAGCCTCGCCCCATAGACTCTAAACTCCAAGCCACAAGCAGAGCTATTTTTCTTCCCAAGATGCTCAGCGCCGCCATTCGGAGGCGAATCCTCGCCCCAACTCACAATGCTCTCCGCACCGGCTTCGCCTCTCATATTGTGAGATACTATGCCTCTTTTCCGGACCACCAGGTTGTCAAGATGCCTGCTCTCTCCCCGACTATGCAGGCCGGCAATATTGGTTCTTGGCAGAAGAAGGCTGGCGATTCCGTCGCCCCTGGTGATGTCCTGGTAGAGATTGAGACCGACAAGGCCCAGATGGACTTTGAATTCCAGGAGGAGGGTGTAATTGCCAAGATTCTGAAAGAATCCGGCGAGAAGGACGTCGCGGTCGGCAGCGTAAGTGTCTTGGTTAATGCCAGCATAAAGATGCAACTCTTGGGTTCTTTTCTTGCCCTGTACACGTTGAGTGCTAATGTATGCTACGAATTTAGCCCATTGCCATTCTTGTTGAGGAGGGAACCGATATCTCAGCCTTCGAGAAGTTCACCCTGGAGGATGCCGGTGGTAATGCGCAGCCAGCTCAGCCTAAGCAGGAAGAAAAGTCCGAATCGCAACCCGCTCCGTCGTCAGCCCCCTCGACCTCTGCCGAGCCAGAGCAATACTCATCCGAGGGCAAGCTTGAGACTGCCCTTGACCGTGAGCCCAACGTTGCCCCTGCCGCTAAGCGACTTGCGCGCGAAAATGGTATCGGCCTGGATGGTGTCAAGGGGACTGGAAAGGGCGGGAAGATTACAGAGGAGGATGTAAAAAAGGCTATCAGCAGTCCCGCTGTAGCATCTCCTGCCGCCACATTCGAGGATATTCCTCTGAGTAACATGCGCAAGACCATCGCCAGCCGCCTTCAGGAGTCAGTCCAGAAGAACCCACACTTCTTTGTGACCAGCTCGCTCTCCGTCACCAAACTGCTGAAACTCCGACAGGCATTGAACAGCTCTTCCGAGGGCAAGTACAAGCTCTCTGTCAACGACTTTCTCATCAAGGCTATTGCCGCGGCTAGCAAAAAGGTTCCTGCTGTCAACTCTAGCTGGCGAGAGGGCTCCATTCGCCAGTTCAACACCGTTGACGTGTCCGTTGCTGTTTCCACCCCGACGGGCTTGATCACCCCCATTGTCACTGGCGTAGATGCCCGTGGCCTCGAGTCCATTTCTGGAAAGGTCAAGGAGCTGGCTAAGAAAGCTCGCGACAACAAGCTCAAACCTGAGGAGTACCAGGGCGGTACCATCTCCATCTCCAACATGGGAATGAACGCTGCTGTCGACCACTTTACTGCTGTCATCAACCCCCCTCAAGCTGCTATTCTCGCCGTTGGTACCACCAAGAAGGTTGCCGTGCCCGTGGAGAACGATGATGGCACCACCGGTGTCGAGTGGGATGACCAGATCACCGTCACTGCCAGCTTCGACCACAAGGTCGTTGATGGCGCTGTCGGTGCTGAGTGGATCCGTGAGTTCAAAAAGGTCATTGAGAACCCTCTTGAGCTGCTTCTGTGAGCAGCTAGGCAACAAATGTCAAGCGGAGCGATGAAGCGAACATAGCCGGAGAGTTCGTGGGAAAGCATGCCTTATAGAGTTAGCGAGGATCCAGAATGACAATGGATCGAAGAGAGGTGAAGCATTGGTGAAAATGTAACCATCCTTTGCCCGTGTCAAAAGGACGATGGCAAGACTCCATGCCCGTGTACAATGACCCTTGATTAATACTGTATTTCAGGTAGGGAGACTATTTTCCAGCTTGTACATTGGCTCATTATTCTCTCTCTCCTGTGCTGCAGGAAATCTATCTTATTTTAAATGTATTTTGATCGGTTCGGTTGCGAAATCATGCCGCTGTCAATGGCAAATACTTTTTCTTATTTGCGTGCCAACAACACGGTTGCTTTGGTTATGATGTAATATCTGGGCGCCAATAAACCTCTGCCAGGTCTCCAGCCGTCGCGGTGAGATACGGACAGAAGGCTGCGGCACAGCACAATGAACCTAGGCGACAGACAACGAAAAGCTGGTGTTAGTCTTGATGAACGTAAAAACGTCCAGACTACGACGGCGGCAACCCACCCATACGATGCAGAGGTGAATACAAATTTGTCTCCAAGATATATATACACTTGACTCCCTCTGGAGTCTAGTCGTCTCTTCCCCTCCTCCCCCCAGTGCCATTATTTCAACCCGCAGTAGCCCGTACTTCCCGCCACTACAGGCCATGAACACAGCACCGAACCAAGCCAGGGCAACACCGGACTGAGGCGGCTCAGCCCCAGGACGACAGAAAGGGGCATGATTATTGACATACATATGAAAATGCCCTTGTTGCTGGCGCCGATCCGCCGTGGGATTACGGCGACGGCGCCGCCCGAAAGTGATGCAAAAATCGAACACGACGGTGAGCGTGGATGTCCGGACGACGCTGTCGGGACACAACGGCTCCAAGTGATGATGCAGAGTTTATCTTTCTTTCTTCAAGTTCGATACTATTAAAAAGTTGGAATAATCATGTTTCAGAAGAATGCCCCCGTGCCACAGAATTCTCAGTTCACTGTTGGTGTGTGTTTCTATGCTAGCACAGGCCGGCCACAGCCATCCCGCGACCCCTACCTTTAGAAGAGGGCAATGGCAGCATTGAAACTATCTAGCGATTCCAGACAGCTCGGCATGGAGTTCTGGTGACGTATCCATCCAGCCGTGAATCCAAGAACAAAGCCAACAGCATTGGTGTAAGTGCGGCTTCGGTGAATTCCCCCCTAACCAGCCAATGAGCGCTTCGGAAAGCTCGGGCATTTCGTCATGTCAGCCCGTGTCTCTCTCGCTCTTACACAACGGGTTACGTATGTCGCAGCGTCAGCTTCAGACGTGAAATTTCCTATTTGACGTCGGTTTACTCCTTGCTACCCTTCTGTATTCACCGAACGCAGGGACTCAATACCCCGAGGTTGGATTCCTCGCAGACTCACCGAATCAGATTGGCAGACTTGTGCCACCCAGGAAATGTCGAGCCAAGATCAAGCATCCTCCTCCAACGACGGAGATACTGGTGCGCGGGGTGCACCAGCCGGCATTCCTGAAAAGAAACGGAGACGTCCTCCGCTTGCCTGTGAGCAGTGCAGAAGGCGAAAGATAAAGTGTGACAGGAATTCACCGTGTGGACACTGTACCCGGGCAAGAATTCCCAACTGCACGTACGCTCCCATCTACATCCCAGAGTCCAAGGCGGGGAGGAAAACATCCTCTCAGCTGCCGAGTACCAGGGCTGGTGGTGCAGCACAGAGGCCGGTGCTGCCAGCTCCATCTCCAGACGCAAAACCCACGACAGGAGAAGGGCGCGAAGTTGTAACCGAGTCTCTTGGCCCGTCCAAGGCTTCATCCAGCGGTCCGAGTTCCAATGTCGGCTCAGCTTCTGACTCGTCCAACGTCGATTGGTTGATTGCCAGAGTCCATGAACTCGAAGACAAGCTTGCCAATGTCGTTCACATCACCGAGCCCAGGGGCAATTCCTTCGTCTCAGGAAAAGAGGACTCGGCGGCTCCCCTTGCTGGAGTCATCTCCAAAACAAGATACTTCGGAAACAGCCACTGGATAACTATTACTGATTTGGTATGCCTGCCTTTCTTCTTCTTACTTCTTGGTCACTGTAGATACTTCTGGCTAACGTCGAATGAACAGCTCCCAACAGAATTCGCCATACTCGGGCGTGCTGAAGCAGACAAGGCTGATGTATACCACACGCTAGTTAAATGCAAAACCCTAGGTCGCAAAATTAAGAAGAATCGCCAGCGGCCTCTGTCTTCTGAGAAACTTGGGGATACAATTCCGCTAAAAGAACTCGCCGATCAACTGATAGAGAATTACCTGCGCACTTTTGAAGGTGTCTTGCGCATTCTTCATGTGCCAACCTTCCGCCTCGAATATGAGAAATATTGGCAGAACCCTGGTGCCGCCAATATGTGTTTCGTGATGCAAATGCAACTCTGTTTGGCTCTCGGTGCCACTATATACGATGAAATATTTTCCATGAGGGCCATGGCGATGCATTGGGTCTACGAGGCCCAGCTATGGCTGATGCTCCCGGCGGAGAAGAGCAAAATGACGATTCCCGGTATACAAAACCTATGTCTCTTAGTACTGGCCAAGTCCTGCTGTGGCGTCGGCCAGGACCTCACTTGGATAACGATGGGCAGTCTTGTAAGAATGGCCATGTACATGGGTCTTCATCGAGACCCAAAACATCTGGGGAAGATGACTGTTTACAGAGCCGAGATTCGCCGGCGCCTATGGGCCACGGTTTTGGAGCTGAACTTGCAGTGTGCGTTCGAGGCTGGTGGTTCTCCGTTGCTTCATACCACAGACTATGATACTGAACCCCCTGCCAACTTGAACGATGACCAGCTGGTCGATGAAAACGATGGCGAGATACCTGTAGGACCATCGTCTGACACACCGACCGAGACGTCTGTCCAGCTTGCCATCCTCAAGTCGCTCCCGCTGCGGCTCAATCTTCTCAGGCTTGTCAACGACTTTCGCGCATCACGCCCATATGATGAAATACTGCGATTAAACTCGGAGCTGACAAAGGCCTGTCGAGAGCTGTCACACAAGCTATCCTGTCTGCAGACGAAAGATGCCGGCTCAAGAGGTTCGACAATCAACTACTTCCACGTCTCGGTGGCGGAACTCTTCCTGTATCGGTTTTTCCACGCACTTCATCTAACCGCCATCGCAAAGTCCTTCAACGATCATAGATTTTATTTTTCCCGAAGAATGTGCCTGGACAGCGCACTCAAACTTCTCAGCCTCTGGGGTTTGTCGGGCAAGCCGTTGAACACACAGGCCGAGGGTCAAATGGACTTTGTGCGAATCGTGGACAATGCCTCTGGGCTTTTCCGTTACATCAATGTGCAGTCGTTATTCTTCGTCGCTGTAGAGCTCATTCATCAGAAACAGGGCCATTCGGTCAGCCTCGGGTATCTTCCTTCCATTGGCGACTCCGACCTGCGAGCCTGTTTGGAGTCTGCAAAGTCCTGGTCTTTGGAGCGGGTTCGGGCGGGGGAGACCAACGGCAAGGGCCACTGCTTTCTAGCAGCGTGCCTGGGCCATATTGATGCTCTCACCTCAGGCCTGTCTCAGGAAGAGGTGGACACGGCGATTCTGCGAGGGGCGACGGAATCAGCAAACAGCTGCTTGGTAGCTCTCTCCGAGGTGGCCAAGAGAGAGGGAGTGCCGTCCGAGGAGTCGACGCCCGAACCGACGGAAATGGATGGCGTCACCAACATGCCACTCGAGTGGATGGGTGATTGGGCGTGGGATGACATGAGCGGCATATCATGGGAACCATGGTCCCAGAACACGTTTGGCGGCGGGATGGAGCAGAGTCTTCCTGGGCACTTTTAGCTTTAACGAGTGCAGTTAATTGCCAGGGACGAGCTACCTCAGGTATATTGAACAACGCAAGAATGGGGATGGCGGCGCAATTGGCAGGCGATGCTCCGCTTGCCACCCGCGTCTTGTATTAGTATTATCATGATCAGTACTACTAGGAGTAGTAGTAGTATGATATAGAAGTATTCCCTGCATTTGCAGGTGAAGGAGTTTTGCTGTCAAGTTTTCAACCATGGGCAGGGCAAAAAGGGCTCTCAACGCAACTCACTGTAGCAACAATACAACATTTCACTGCTATAATAGAAGCGCTTGACATCGGCTATCAAAGTGTTGTTTACCAATCTGGCGTCTTGCATATGGCACAGGTTACCATTGCATCGGCATTGCATTGCCGCCTGTTCCGGCCCATCTTTTCATTCGTGTCGCTCCCGCATCCCCTGCATGGAAGGCAAAAGGGTCGTCGATCAATATACGAAGCTAGACAAATTGGTATGAGCCCGCGGTTTCCTCAGAACGCAGAAACTGGTAGTGCATGCCGTGCCTTCCCAGATGCAAAATAATACCAGTTCCTTGTTGTCGTGAACGACGGACCGTATGCAAGGAACACGGTTTGATTCCCACCAGACCAGACCTGATAGAATTCGAGAAACGCAGGCTGTCCAGACTAGGCCGGCCCTCTCCAGAGCATTCTTTTGGCCCCGCGGCCCAACAGGATATAGACAAGACACTCTGCAATATAGCAACAAGCGCACTCCGCGCTCTGCCCACAATGACCCGCATCACCACAGTCGTCCTGGCCATATTGGCTCTTACCACCGACGCTCGCCGGCCTACCGCGGCGAAAACGGGATGCACGTTGACTACGACGACGACATTTCTTCGCCAGACAGCATGGCCGCACTGGCCCCAGTGCTCGTTTGACGGCACGGAGCGCATCTACAGCTCCACAGTCACAATGAATACAGCCGTCGACTGCCACGGATGCTCTCACATCCGGGTTATCTCTAAGCCCAAGGCGCGCTGTCCTGTGAAAATCCAGGCGATCAAGACGGAAAGCACACCTTATACGGTTCACAGGACGATTTGCGCTGAATCTACAACACACTAGGCCATGTCAAGCCTAGAAGGATCATAGGAGGCACGGGGAAGGGGAAGGCGATGGACAAGTATCTGCAATCACGCCGTGATTTCACGACGGGATAGACTAAGCGAGCCATGGCCACAAGGGGGTAGAAGATGGACTCGAAGAAACAGGGTATAATCAGGTGTATTCCTATAGTTTATGAAAAAGGATGCGTTTGCTCCTCCATTTTGTTCCCTCCATTTTCCCTCTTCGTTAATACAAATAAAAAAGGGAGAGAAGTTTCATCTATTTGGCATTTCATGCCTAGTCCCTAGTCCTCTCGTCCTTGAAAACGCCGCCTCTCACCGAAATGTGCCATCTATGCGTTCTGAACCTGGACCTGACCATCCGGCATACCAAAGTAGGCGGCCACGGGTTTTTGTGCCTGCAATTCCTTGCCGAGCCCAGCGGCCTGGTTGCCGTTGAAGCCGTGGAAGAGGCCAATCTCGACGATACCGGGGATCTTGAGCAGTTCGTCGGCCAGCGTCTGAATCTCCCAGGAGCCATTTTCCCCCTTTCCATTCTCCGTAGATGACAGATCCTTGGGGAGTAACAAGGGTGAGAAGGGCGCGTCGATGATCCACATGCCATTGTCTGTGACACACTCGCCAGCCTTGCTGGGAAGGCCTGACCGGACCGCAGGGTTAGGGGAGCCCATGGCACGCAGGCGGGTGAGAACATCGGGCGCGGCAAGTGGAAGAACCTCGAGGGGGATAGTCTTCCACTTGGTGCAAAGCCGTGGTGACTGCTTTCGAGAGTCTGATAGATACGGTAAGAAATTTGGAAGGAAACGGGGGGTAGTAAGGTGTCGTGGAGCAGGTTGCACTCACCAGCAACAGCTACAAACCTCTTGGCAGCAGTGGCAACGAGCTTCTCCTGGAACAGGCATGCGCCGCCTCCCTTGATCAAGTTCAGATCTTCGTCGACTTCGTCTGCGCCGTCAAAGGCGACGTCCAGAGCCACGGGGGCGCCATTGACGAGAGGCCGCTCATCGACGTAGCACAGCTTCAGGCCGGCCTTCTTGATCAGACCCTTTGACTGGCTGCCAGTAGGCACAAAGGTCATACCAGAGTAGAATGCCGGGCCCTTGCTCACGATGGCATCGACCACGTAGACGACGGTGCTGCCGGAGCCGATGCCGACGAACTTGTAGGTGGGGAGGAGGTGGTCCTCGACGGCGCGGTAGGCGGCGAGCTTCTTGGAAGACTCGACAAGATCGGCGGTTGAAGACATGGCTGCTCTTGTGGCATAAAAGGGATTGCCAGTTATAGGTTGCGGCAGAGAAGCTGGCGGGGAGAAGGCGGTTGAAGCTCGAGCTTGACGTGATGGCGGGGCACGAGGACACTCGGTCAGGTTTGTCAGGGTCCTGTCAGCAAAGCTCGTCTTGGTTGTCGATGTTCTTCTACGCCAGGCTATGACTGATGCGGCTACTGCGGTATGTGTAATCAATTGGCGAAACTGCGTCCCTGGCGATGCAGAAAATGTGCAGAGACTAGATGTTGCCATGTGTTTGATCAGTCGCAGTCGCAGTCGCATCGAGGCGCTCGACGTGGTGGGCAAGCCAGTGGTTTTGCATGTGGAGACGGCATCGTCACTTGTGGGCATTGATTCGGTCGAAGCGCTCGAGGCATTGGTTTTGTAAAGTCGGCCACATAACTAAAGCTCAGTTGCGTCCTTGCTACGGCAGTGTCTGAGGGTCTGGTTAAGAAGCGTTTTGTCTTTTCACGCTCGGCCGCCGCCAATTCGATACATGGCAGCAAGATGAGAGGTTGCCCATTGATTGTCTGACGACGTCACTCGCAGCCCAGATTCCCCACCAGCCAGCCGCTCCATCGGAGTCTGGGTCGCTGGGCTTGTGTGCCTTTGTGCATTTGTGCATCCAGTGCACATTTCACATGCGCGCGGCCAACTCTTATGCCAAAAACCAACCACAGCCAACAGGCGCGCAGCTTGTCCATGTTAAGACGGGAATTTTTTACTTGGTCCATGATTGTATTATCCTCTATCCAGAATACCGACTATGACGAACCAATGGATCTCTTGTTTGTCATAAAAGGTGTGCAAGAAAAAAAGCCTACTCTTATGCACCACCGCTTTGTTCATAGTTCATACATACAACTACACCAGACAACCCTATGATATGCAGCTTCATCCCAATTCGGATCTGACATCTCTCCCGACTTCCGGTGGCCCCATTGCTTCGTCGCCCTGCTGCATCGCTGCATCTGTCTGGCATCCTACGGAGTACATAACTACTACATATATAGCTATGTATGTACAATATTATTTCGCCCTGTCTCACGCGCGGATACGGCAGCCGCTGCGGAGCATCTTGGTCCGAGATGAGCTGACGGCATGACAGGATAACTTCAGTAGCCGAGAAGAAAAGCCTAGTAAGCTTCCGCCCGGTCTTATAGTTGCGAATAAGGTTGGGCATGGTCGAAAAAAAAAATACCCCCTTGGCGCTACGTGGGCACATGCGTGCCGTCTTCCGTTCTGGCTGCAGATTTCGCCTCTCACGATGCCGTTCTAGGTTTCCTAGGCACCAACTTTGCCCGTTTAGACTCCAGTGCTAGCTCCCGTGGCGAGACTGGCTGCATGTACTGCTGCAGCCAAATCTAGAGTCGTCTTCGTCTTGCCCCCAAGTCCATTGCAGTCCGCGCAAAGCCGAAACACTTAGCCTTGAGCTATAATGCACATCCAAGGTTTCCTCCCGATGGTTTCCACCTACAGGTAGACCTACCTCTCTCTCTATTCCTCTGCTGCAAAATTCTATATAAACGCCAGCAGCTCGCCCTCATCAAGTCTGGCAAACAGTCCTTTCTTCACTCTCCAGATTCACTATACATCTTCAGCACCATATATCTTCATATACATTGACATCTCATCATCTCCCTCTTCGCAAAAGAAACAGTCGATATGCGCACTCCTCAGCTTCTTGCACTGGCCGTGGCATTGGCCACTTCCACCATGGCCAACCCGGTTCCTGAGATGGGCAACGATCCCGCAGCCCGAGGCGCCCTGAACAACCCAGCTGCCCCTGATGAATCTGGGTGCACCGCAACCCAACGCGTGGCTCCTCATTGGACATTCGGTCCTACTTCAACCGTTTGGACCTCTACTGCCACTTCCACAGAGAGTGTTGACTGTGGCGGCTGCAACGAGGTCGAGGCATCTACCTTTTTTTTGGGAATGGGTCCCGTCGTCTCCTTCACCACGACCATTACCGCGGAAACAGCAAGCACCACTACCGTGTTCGCGTGCGCAACGTCCGCTGCAGGTCAATAAAACGTCATCACCAAGGGGCCGGAAGCCACTACTGCCCCATAAGCTATTGAAGCTTTGCCGGAACGAAGGAGTGAGTTGGTGACGATGGATGGCATGGTATCACTTGGTGGGTGGTATGGTTACCAAAAACAAAAGTCCAAGGAGCACACATTCATAGTTTTATCCAACAGACTATGTATTGAATAAAATTTTTTATGTTTTTTTTAACCTTTGCTTTATATACCCGTTCCGCCGCAACAAGTGACCAAGCCTTTAGCAATGGTACACACGCCCAGTATTTCTTCTTTTCTTCCCCCTTTTACATGCCCTCACCATCATGGCCACGAGGCGACGAACTCTTTGCCAGCAAATTCCTCGTAACGTCCAATCGCCAAATCGAAGGCCCGTAGTCGTCGTCCCCCCGCCGATGCGTTTCAACCATGGTCTTGATATTGCCCTTTATCTCCTTGTTCGACGTCAGCGTGACATTGCCACTGGCCCATCCATACATGAAGATGGAGAGCTTGCTGCTCTTGAAGCCGCTGTGGCGAGCGACGTCAATGGCCATTGCCGGGAGCCGCGAGCTGCTAGCTGCTTGCTCGATTTCAGGCCAAGTCCAGCATTCATCGACAACTTTTATGGGGATCTGGACTGTACTTGGCAGAGCGTGTGCGGAAAGCTCCTCGAACCGCGACCGAAGAGCAGCCTCTGACTGGTCTCTATAAAATTGGGCAAATGGGACGAGAAGGTTTCCCCTTTCTTTCTCCGAGCTTGTCCCCACGGTGGCGAGGACGTCGTGAAAATGCTCGGCGGCTTCTCTCGTACAAACTAGCGTCCTGTTCTCAATAATTGGGTACAGTGCTTTCACCATGGCGCCATCATGTTCCATCTCTTCTTCTATCTGCGCTCTTGTTGTTTCCTCTTGCCACGGTTTAGGTTCCAGGCGGAAATGTGTAATGTCCGAAATCAAATCAATCAAAATCGTGTGGTCCATGTTCAACGTATCTGTGAGCCCGTCAAACTCATGGCCCAGTAGATTCCTGATGGCAACATCAAGTTCAGGGGGTGGTGTTTTTAAGAATTCGCCGTCTCGGCCCTCGACGATAATTTCAACCCCGGGGTCGATCCGACCAAGTTGTTCAAAAAGCACATTGATGTCGTTGTTCTCTTTGCCAATATTGGGCATGACTATCTTGAGCCGTGGGATCCTGTACTCGTGGCGGTTTATTCTCGCCGCCGCGACGAGTCGCTTGACTTGTTTCGCGAGCATGACGTCCTCCCATTCCTGCTCGTCGACGGCATCCCCAACATTGTGCTCACCCCATCCCCATCCACTATCTGTCATTTGTCTCGCCAGTCGATCTGGCTGAAGTGTGTGAACGACAAGCCACTCCGCACCGCCTTGGACAACATGTGCCTCAACTTTGGCCTGTGCCTTGATGGTCCGATGTGCTGCTTCTTTCTCGCGCCCAGTCAAACACATCTTTTCCACTTCTCTTTTCCGCATGTCCCTGTCAGATCCCTGAAAAGCTTGGTTGATGGAAACAAGGGAGCGGCATCTTTTCAGCACGCTCCAGTGTAGTGAACCATGGGAAATGTTGACAGCGCAGATTTCCAGCTTTCTCCCAAGCTGTCGAAGCGCGTCGTCTGGAAGCTGGGAATGCAGCGAGTTTTGAACCATGTCCTCCAGAATTGCTTGGTTCTTTCTCAGCTGGCGCAAAAATGTGGGCAATCCTGAAGATGACGGCCTTTTGGAACGGGCGTTGAGCGTCTTGCCGAACTCTTCGATTTCGGGGATGTAGCCATGAGACGCTGACAAGGTCGCCGTTGCCACCTCGAGCAGGCGGCTTTTCAGCTCTGTACTAGCATTGCTGGCATTCTCGGCGCTCTGGATTCCATCGCGGGACGCCAATCTTTCTTTGCTATTAGCTGTCATGGCTTGGTTCCGTGGTTGACTGTCGTCTTCGGGCCGAGGTTCTTTGCGACGGTGCACAAAGAAAATACCACATTTCGAGCTATTTTCTCTCTCTTTTGAGTAATGGCTGCACCTTGGCGTCTAGCGCTGCTCCTGTCCCCGTCACTGGTCCTTTTCAATCAGCTTCGCAAGACTGACTTTGACGAGTTTGATGCCAGCCATCCGTCATTTAGGGTTGTGAAAGGTTGTCTGGTGGTCGCGACTGGAAAATTGCTGGCGGGCCGCAGTCGACCCACATTTTCTGCGCTCCAATCCCGCTAAACCCATGTAAAACTACATATTGACTCGATCTAAAACCTCTTGTTCTGCCCAACACTAGCTAGCCATCTGCCGGCGTAGCCACGAGACAACATGGTCTGAATGCAATTTCAAGCCACCAAAATGTTGCCCTCGCATCACATTCGAGACTGACATAAGGGGAGCTAACCACAAGCGGTGCTATGCCTGCGATTAGTTTCGATGCGCATGGTTGAGCTGGAGTTGGGCTGCTGTTTGAATGCCTGAGCGTATCGCCCCCATGTCAACGTTTGGTCTTGGTCAGGACTTCGGCCAAATGTCAAAATATTACAGGCAGCAGCTGATGAAAAATAGGCTGGCAATTCTCAGCTCTGCTACCCGGGCCTGAAATGGAGAGGCCTTCATTATTCTCGGGATTCAGCCAAAAATATTTTGAGACATGTGTCCTTGGACAACAATGCCCTACTACACTTCAGATGGCAGAAGTAGTCGGTCTTGTCGCTAGCGTCGTGACCCTCGGCGAGCGTACAACAAAGGTGGTAAAACTAAAGAGCCTTTGGGACAAGGTTCGAAACGTTCCTGAGGACATCCAGAGTCAACTGGATGAACTTGAAGCTCTGAATATCCTCATCACCGAGGTTGAAGCTGAAGCCGCAGCTGAACAAGATGCGTTGCGAGACACGCCAGCCGGGGCCTTGAGTCTGCGATACTGCAAGAAGGCCGCCAAGGAGCTGGAAGATGTCATCTAAAATCTTCAGAGAAATATCAAGTCGTCTACAAGGCTGCCAAGGACGGCAGCAAAATTTGGGGCTGTTTTGAGCCAGAAAATAATCTTGGATGCTCAGAGGCAGCTATCCAAGGCGTTTTAAATGCTTCAATTTGCTGTGACAGTACATGTGTGGTTCGTAAAGGCGCTGAACCATGCATGGCTTCTGGTTAAAAAGTCGCTGCAGAAGGGGGAAAAAAACCTGACAGCTCGGCTCGCTCTCCTAGGTCTCAGTCCAAACGCCTACCAGAATGTACGGCCTCAGCCTTTCTTGCCAGAAAGAATGAAGTCAACACTGAGAAAGTCAAGCATACTCCAACACCAACGAATATTGCATCCGCCAGCGTTGAATTAGTGTCGCCGCAGCAGGCCACCCTGCGGTGGTTGTCGGGCTCTGTATTCGGAGGCATCACCAGTGCCCAATGTTCCCAGGTCGTCCAGGAGGGTCGCGACGACGGCGAAGAAGTGCGAAGTAAAGGAATCCAGGGCCAGCATGGATATGGAAAAACCTCGATCTGACTTGTTTCACCCGTTACACAAGCTCGCATTCGACTCCCGTCATGGGTCGCACAGGCTGCCTGGGACATTTTGACATATAGGTCATCACGGGGCTTCACATGGAAGCTCACGAGCTGGAATGTTGTCCCCGGTGATAGCCCGATCTTGGAAGCCGTGAAAAGAGGTCCGTTTACTGATGTCATGGCGCCCATCTCGTCTGGCGATGCGTCCTTGTACGACCGAGATGACAACGGCAAGACGCTGCTTCATGTAAGTTGGAGAAGACGGAAACCCAACGGCACCCCGGTACTCAATTAACATGTTTGAAGTATGCAGTGTATTGCCGCAACTTTGACACGGCTATAAATGTCATAAAAACGGGCCATCCAGTCATGGAAACAGACAATCTCGGGTTGTTTCCGTGCACAGCGCCATCTGCGTCCCCGCAAGCAGACCCAACCAAATCTCTCGAGCTCCTTTCCGTGGTGATCAGTAGAGGAGACTTTAGTAATTTACTTGAAGGCTTGATTGACGAATCCGCCACAGTCGCAGTTTTCAAGCCAAGCCAGTTTGATCGGCTAATCTGGGTTATCCCTGGGTTCTTGGAGTTGATTGATAATGGCTTGTCTTGGAATTTCAGTCAGCTGCCGCTTTTATCTAAATTCAGGACGTTTGGCTGGTCCATGGTTCGTGCAGACACCCTGGATGCCATTCTGTCCCGTTACTCTATAACGTTGCAAGACGCAAGGCAGATGTTGGGCTATTCGGTTGGCCACTCGTTGCACGAGTTCGCCGCATAGTACCTCGTCCAGCCCAATTTCCGAAAAACTTTGCCAGGTTCATGGCGGTATGCTAGGGTGTATGACGGAGAGACTAACGGCGACATAGCAGTCAAGAACGCCCAGCTCTGGAAGGGTTACGCGTTCGGCCTGGTCTGAGCCATGGAGTTTGACTACCTTGTGAAGGAGCGAGAGTTTAACCTTCTTGGACGCACGACTCCCCTATTATACGCTATAATGAAGACAATGAGTCAGTTAGCCTTGTGTCCCGATGCAGGTCCGCAGCCAAGATGGGAGGAGGAAGTACACGACAATGTGAGAAGTCTTCTAGACGATGTATCAAGGAGTGGGGTCAGGCTTGAGGAATATGGACGCGTGGAATTCTCGCAATTTATGAACAACGGCTTTGCCCGCACAAGGAGGTACCGAAATGTCATGGGTTACAACCATGAAGTGGTAGGGGGGCCGTATCTCGTTTCATTACAGTATGGGCCGAGGCCGGAAGACTGGAGGTTCTTTTGGGACAATCTAGTGGAAGAGTAAATGCTGGAGAGCCAGCCGTTAAATATGCCAGGCGCGTGGGTAGACTAGCATACATATGTCCAGATAGATATTGTTCCAAATACCTCTCTCATGGTTCTCTCTACCTTGGCTCTGACTAGAACTAGCTGGAGGGTCGGTGGCTGCGCATGTGCGGATGCGAGACTCGCCTAGAGGTCAACTGGGTGCTTCTCAAACCTTATTCCACGACAGTTTTGGGTACATTGTGCGGGCATCAAAATCAATCTCAAGATCAGGCTCAAGATCAAGCTCAAGCTCACGCCACGCAACAACGAAAACCACTTTAGGAACCACCAACGTCCAGTAGCCTACAAAATGTTGCGCAGTGGCACCGCTCCACCTGTTGAAAAAAAGACGAATTTACGCAGCCACATCCGCGGGGCGCTATAGTGTCTCATACTCGTACCGTGAGGCCTGGTTCTAGAAGTCTTGGTATTGTCTGGTTTACCTCGGACAGCCATCCATCATTAAACATCTTCACATGCGCCAGAGCGCAAGGCAGAAGGGAAAAAAAATTTTCTCTTAAAAAAACCCTCAACCCGAGTTTTTGCGATACGCCCGACGATTCCGCTCCTGCATGTCAATGGATCTTTGTTGGCGAGCTCGAGTCCGGTGCTAGATTTTTCGCAAGAATCCCTGCTGCAGGTTTTCCCCATAACATCAGGCGCCACGCAACATTCGATTGAATGGTTGGACAAACCACCGACGTGAATGTAAAGTTATAGTTGGCATCTCTACACGCTCTCTCCTTGAAAGGTCAAGGGTGGTCGAACGACTCTGCCAAAAGGGGAGGACTCCTGCAAGAGGAGGTCTTGTTTCTGGTTGGTCTTCTTCATTTCCTTTACAACAAAAGGTCGCTCTCAGTTGTTGGTCGGCTACCATATAAAACCCTAACCCTAGCTATTATTAGTAGTGATCATTATTCGACAACATAAATTCAATGTTCATGTTGTTTCAGAAGTCTGGCTTGGTGGAGAAGGGCGGATCATCACCCACTATGATTTGCTCCACAGCGGCCTTTCAAAGGGAGAGGGGGCTGAGTACACCCACTGTACTGTACTTAGTAAAGTACTTGGCTAACGCCAAAATACACCCACTAGAAACCCACTGAAAGGGCAAAGTGCTCATTGGGCCCACGAATTGACAACACTTACGGCGTAGTCCCTCATCCACTTAGCCGCTGACAGGTAAACTGGGAAAAATAGCCGTCGCCCCTTCCCAAGGAGCGAAGCACTGGGAACCAGGCGCGCAAGAGCTGGACGCCACACGTTTTATAATCAACGGAGAACACCATGTGCCCCGTGCTGCTTCCATCGTTGTCGTCTGGAAAAGTGGCGCCGATTTGTTTTGGCACCCACACCCCCTGCCACCCCCCAAGTTCCGCTGACGAGGAGTCAAGAGACAAAAGGGGGTATTTTCACGCATGTACAGTCGTAGCCGTACGACTGGGCTATAGCCGTTATAGATCCTGTGTCTTGGCGATGATCGGGTTATTACAATGGTCTACGGTCATCTAAGGCTTTCCCCAAGTAAATCGTCAAATAGTCAGGTTACTCACGACATGACAGGCATCAAGCTTAGTCACTATACGGAGTACATTTTAGTCTGGTGTCTTTATCATCATTTGCCCCCCCCATAAACGCTACCTACCTAGGTACCTAGTAGTTTCGCAGCCTCCAACTCGACGCGTTTTTCTTCCTTCAACACCAGACAGACTACATGCACCATGATAATACCGCCAATTACAAGAGAAAATTAAATTCACTAAGCAATATGTAAAGCTGTGAGCGCCAGCTAAAAGCTTGGGATGACTGCCTCGAGGCTCTTTTACCTATCGCACGCGGTGCGCGCATCGCCGCCCCTCATCAGCTAGCATTGAATTGAGCCGGCCCTTTTTGAGCCCGTTGACAAGAGCCGCGATGACCTTTAACAGCTTCAACAACGCGGCATTAACAGCGCGTGATGCCGGTCCAAAAAAAAAAAATCCTTATGTATCTTGAGTATTTTGAGGTGTAATTTTCTAGTAAATTCAAGCAAGGTACAAGCCCCATAATAGTCGCACCTTGACGATTGTTGCCGAATAACGATGAAAAGGATCTCGCGAAGCTACGTAGCGTATCGTATAGGCAAGGTTTACTGTAACAACGCCAAGCCTCTCCGCACGCCCGCCAAGTGTGTGGTTCCTCGTCACCCCACACAGATGGGCGACAAGTCGAGCTCAATGTAACCTGGCTCGGCCGTTGAGTGCAAGTCGCGCGAGTCGAATAGTGCGTCGTCTTTGGGCTTGAGAAAAAGTAATCGAGAGGGTTTAGGGGCAACGGCGGGCGCCGGCTTCTCCTAGTCCCATCGATTCCAAGTGACATCGGGAGCTGGCTAGAATAGCGCATGGCATGCAATTGCCCCGGTCGCAGGGCGACCACAAGTATTCCAGCCTACTACGTAGTTCAACTCGCTCGATAGAAACAGGCGTGACGGGGAAACCACAGCCCAGAATAGCTTCACACGCCGTCCAAATAGCGCGATGCAACATGGCACAATGCAGTGTATGCCACATTTCAAAAACTGGCCTGGCTCTTATTCTCACCATGAACCATGACAGTTGTCTGTCAGTCGCACAAGGACGCCTCACTTACAGGACGGCAGGCGGGGGGGACACACATGCCAAGAACTTTTGCAAGATATCAAACTCGACGATAACTATGGAACCATACATTCTTAAAATAATATGTATCAAAAGAGAATATGTAACACAGGAATAAGCAGCACAAGGGTTCAGAACCCGAGCACGCTTGTCAATGAAGCCTGGATGCAACTCCGATATAGGCAAAACATTCCAACCAAAGATTCACGCACCAGCAAACACTCAGAATATCAAACCTTTCCGTCATCTTGGACGCTTTCTCATGTCAAGGGTTCACTGCAAGTAGCCATTGACCTGCATTGTGGCCGTCGCCGATTGGTAATGAAGGACGCTTAACTGACAGTGACCATGAAGTTGACGGGTCCAGGACCAACATTGAGACCAACTCCGTCCAGAGCGTTGGTGCCCTTGACATAGGCATTGTCTCCAGCACCGCCCTCCTTAATAGTAGAACACTTATGACCCTCAGCACAAACACTGAGGGCAGGGATGGGGCGGTTGCTG